CAGAGAGAAGGAAAGAAAGCAAATAGGTGAGGAGAGAGACCAACTGTGAGAGTCAAAAAAAAAAGAGGTGTTGACAGATCCTGTCACCAGGACACCAGAGCTGGGTAAGTCCCTGGCTGGGCTGGGAGGGATTTGCCTGGATGCCCATTCCTGGTGTCTTAGGACTTGTCCTGGGAGTTGGGCATAGATGGTTTGGGGGTTCATGAGGGAAGACAGGGACAGGTAGCCCAGGCACCCTGAAGGAGGAGGCAGGGATTGGAATTCCTGTGCAGAGGGTGTCACATTCTTGGCCAGAATTCAGTGGGCAAGAATAAAGGGACCCCTCTTCTTATGGCCCGGCTGCAGACAGCTGCCCCCTCCCCGCAGCTGCCAGAGCCGCCCACCTCTCTTGGCACTGCTCTTGGTATGTGATCCCTGGCCATGGCCTCCCCCAGCCCCTCAGTCCCCAAACAACAGTTTCTTTCTCCTCAGCCTCCTCTGACCTACAAGCCCTGACCCAACTCTGTCCTCACTCAGCCCCCATCAGTGGAGACACACAGACCCCTTTTTCTTTTTTCCCCCAAGCTCTCGATGGAGCAGGGCCGACCCCGGAGCAGCCTCAGCCTGGCCAGCAGTGCTTCCACCGTATCCTCTCTGAGTAGCCTGAGCACCAAGGTCCTTCCATGCTTCTGGATGGGATAGGGAGGAGGGGGACTCTGGGCTGTGGGTTCTGTGCCATCCCAGGGACTTCAGTGGTCACAGATGAGGATCCTTAGTGACTGGGTTGGCCAGACTGGTCCCACGTTGAGTGAGCATCAGCTACAGCCAGGAATTTGGAGAGAATCCCAGTTCTGTCCCCGCCCCTCCCAGTTCTGTACCCACCCCTCTCAGTCTTCCTAATTCTAAGCCAGAAGAACAAATAAACCCAGACTGAGAGGAGATGACTATTCTTGACTGGACTAGGGGACTTCCTTTCCAGTCTATAACCATGAAACCCACCCACTTATAACCTGATGTGGTGGCTCACAGCTGTAATCCAGTACTGGACAGGTGAAGGCAGGAACATCCAAAGTTCAAATCCAAAGTTCAAAGTTATCTTTGGCTACATATAAAGTTAGAAGCTAGGTGAGACCCTGTCTCATGCTAGACAACAAGAATCCAAGCCAGAGCTAGCTATGGTGACACACACTTTTAATCTCAGTGCAGAGGCAGGCTGACCTTGGAGGGTTTGAGACCAGCCTTGTCTACTTAGTGAGTTCCAGGACAGATAGAGTTACATAGACCCTGTCTTGAAAAACAAAAGCAAGCAAGCAAACAAACAAAACACAGAAACCAAGCCGTATATGGCAATACATAGCTCACATGCCAACATTTAAGAAGTAGATAGAAGCCGGGCGGTGGTGGCACACACCTTTAATCCCAGCACTTGGGAGGCAGAGGCAGGCAGATTTCTGAGTTCGAGGCTAGCCTGGTCTACAGAGTGAGTTCCAGGACAGCCCGGGCTATACAGAGAAACCCTGTCTTGAAAAACCAAAAAAAAAAAAAAAAAGAAGTAGATAGAGCAGGAAGAGGATCAGAAATTTAAGGTCAACCTTGGCTACATAGTGATTTGAGGATAGCCTGGGCTATATAAATATCACCTAGAACAAAATTTGCCTTACTCCTGTAAGTTCAGAGACCAAACAGATTTGTTTCCAGCCTTGGTCAACCTATTTCCAAGGAGGGGTGATCCGAGACAGCTTGGACATGGGGTGGGCAAAGTCTGTGGGTCCAGTTGACCCCCCTGAGGGAAGTGAAGGATGAGAAATCCCTCTCTTCCCAACTCCAGCATCAAAGGCATCTTTCCACCATGGCTTCTATCTGGAAAAGTCTTCTGTGGGGAGCCTCCTGGTGTGGATTGCAGAGGTTCTCTGGCAGGTCTGGGTGTGGCAGTGAAGAGCCTGTTCTTGCCAGGGACACTGCTCCAGGGTCTCAAGCCCATGCCATACTTGGAACTATGTAGCCAAAAATGACCTAGAATTTAGTGTTGTTTTTGAGACAGGGTCTCACTATGTATCCCTGACTGTTCCAGAACTCCCTCTGTAGCCCAGTGTTGAACTCAGAGGCCTGCCTCTGCCACCCAAGTGGCAGGCATATGCCTTTAAACCCAGTCAACAGCCTTGAACTTCTTCTAATTCTGCCTCTACCTCCAAAATGACAGGATTACAGGAATAGTGTAAACCCTTGGTTTGTGCAGTGCTAGGATTTGAACACATGCTTCCTATGTGTTAAGGAAGCACCGTGCCAACAGAGCTGACTAAATCCCTTGTTACTTTTTTGTTTGTTTTAAGACTCGGTCTCAAACAGCACAGACTGTCCTGGCACTCACTGTGTTGTTAGGATGATCTTGAAAGTTACTTTTTTGTTTGTTTTAAGACTCGGTCTCAAACAGCACAGACTGTCCTGGCACTCACTGTGTTGTTAGGATGATCTTGAAACCCTGATCCTCCTGTATCTCCCAAGTCCTGGTTTTACAGGCATGTGCCACCCTCCTCAGCCTCCTTGCCTGCCTTCTGAGAGAAATTCACTTGGGAGCCAGTCCCAGGAGAAGTCCTTATTCATTTCTGTTCCTACTGCGCCTCAGAAGCCTACGCGTGCCGTACACAAGGTCCATGCCTTTGGGAAAAGGAACAATGCTCTTCGGCGAGACCCCAACCTGCCGGTCCACATTCGTGGCTGGCTGCATAAGCAGGTAAGGTTAGGGGGAGAGCTGTTGTCCCTGAGTGTTGTGCACTGTTTTTGAGTTTTCCTTTCACATTCCTGATGGATACATTCATCCCCACCCCCCACCTGTTACTGTTTCCTCCATATCTGAACAATTAATTCCCTGTGCTTTGAATGTTTCAGTCCTGGCCTCAGGACACAGGTTGTATTAGTCATTAGTCAGGGTTCTCTAGAGTCACAGAACTTATGGGTAGTCGCTATATAGTAAGGGAATTTGTTGATGACTTACAGTCTGTTGTCCAACTTCCTAATAATGGTCAGCAGCAGCTGTGAATGGAAGTCCAAGGACCTAGCATTTGCTCAGTCCTACAAGGCAAACAGGTGAAGAATCTTCCTTCTTTCAGTGTCCTTATATAGGACTCCAGCAGAAGGTGTGGCCCAGATTAAAGGTGTGTGCCACCACGCCTGGACCTGGGACTTGCTTTGTCCCAGATGACCTTGAACTCAGGGATCTCCTTGCCTTTGTCTCCTGGGATTCATAGTCACTATGTCTCAAGATCTCCAGGCCAAGATCCAAGTCAGAAACTGGTGTCTCCCAGCCTCAAGATCTGGATCACAGGTGAACCTTCCAATCAATTCTGGATTGTATAGTTCATTCCAGATATAGTCAAGGTGACAACCAGGAATAGTCACTACACAGGTTATACAGATGAACAAGTATCTAAGCCATATTTAAGATCATGAAGGTTAAATGCAGATCACTGTGGTACATGCCTTTAATCCTACCACTCTTGAGGCAGAGGCAGGCAGATCTCTGTGAGGTTAGCATGATCTACAATAGTAAGTTCCAGGACAGCCAGGGCAACAGAGAGAGACACTGTCTCAAAAAACTAAACCAAATCAAAAGAAAACAAGATAACAATCAGGGTGGGGCAAGAATTGTGTGATGGATGGGTAAAGAAATAAATGGACCGGCCTACAGTCTCACTGCTAAGCAGCGCTTTAGCCTCAGCTACGGAGAAATTCAAAGCCAGCCTGGACTACTTGAGACCTTGTAGCAAAACAAAACCCACACAACTTTGAATAGGCTGTTGGAAGTTTGTGGAAAAGAAACACATGAGAGAAACCCCCTACATCTCAGGCTTTGAACATTTGCACCAAGTCCTGGTATATGAAATCTCTGCGGTGCCACACTGCAACCAAACCTTCCAGAAACTTCTCAAACCCCAATGGGGCAGACGGGAGGTCTTGAGGCTCCTAGAGGAGGCATGATGCTTTCTAAGACATCATTTAAAAGTGGCCAATCTTGCTGGGTGGTGGTGGCGCACGCCTTTAATCCCAGCACTTGGGAGGCAGAGGCAGGCGGATTTCTGAGTTCGAGGCCAGGCTGGTCTACCGAGTGAGTTCCAGGACAGCCAGGGGTGTACAGAGAAACCCTGTCTTGAAAAACCAAAAAAAAAAAAAAAAAAAAAGTGGCCAATCTCAAGCCAGATGGCGGTCCAGCACTAAGGAGACAGGCAGGTTTGAGGCTAGCCTGGGCTACAGAGTTCTGAGACAGCCAGGACTACACAGACAAACCCTGACTCCAGGAAACAAAAATAGCCGCCAGATGTGCCGTCACCCGTCACAGCACCTTGCTTTCAGCCATCCATAGGTAGCCACCACATCCACCACATCAGCACATACTATCGGCCACCCCAGTCACAACGCACTATTTGTGTCTCTGCCCCTATCTCTCTTTCCTCTGCCCCCACTTTGAGTGCTTGACTCTCTCTGGGACTCTGCCCCCATCTCTCCTCAGGTTTCTCTGGGCCTTTGTCCTTCTGTTTCTTTCTCTTTCTCTCCACCCCTCCCCTAGTCTTTATCTCTCTGCCCCTGGTTCACTTCCTCTATCTTGTTTCTTCTGTATTCAGCCTCTTTTCTCTCTCCCTAGGACAGCTCAGGCCTCCGGCTGTGGAAACGCCGTTGGTTCGTCCTTTCAGGCCATTGCCTCTTCTACTACAAGGGTCAGTGCCTTGGCTGGTACTTCACCAGTTTCTCCCTGGGTCTTCTGGGTACCATGACCCCTTCCTAACCTCTGACCTAACTCCTGTCTACAGACAGCAGAGAGGAGAGTGTCCTGGGCAGTGTATTGTTACCCAGCTACAGTGTCAGGCCAGATGGGCCAGGAGCACCACGTGGCCGGCGATTCACCTTCACAGTGAGTGTGTTTGTAGATTCTAGTTAGGTGGTAGGTGGGAACTTGATGTGACCACTCACTGGGGTTTCTGAATTTGGAGATAAGAAGTCTTACCATGCTTCCTGTGAGTTCTGGTCCCAAGCCTCTGTCTCTTTCAGGCAGAGCACCCAGGCATGAGGACCTATGTCCTTGCAGCTGACACATTGGAGGACCTGAGAGGTTGGCTTCGAGCACTGGGAAGGGCCTCCCGTGCAGAGGGGGAAGATTGGTGAGTGTCAGCCGGGCTTGCATGTGCCCCATAAACTCCACCCTTTGTAGGACAGTCATTTAAATATGAAATTACTATCTATCTCCTAAGTAGACCCTACCTTCAAAGACTCCTCTCCCCAAAGAACTTCCTCCAGTAGCAAAAAGGGATTCTCTTTTAAGATCTGCCTACCTTCTTGTCCAACTGATCTTTCAGTATCCCACAGACATTCTCAACTCCACCCAAGGAGTTAGAAACTCTGATGATTTCCTGGCCGGTGCCCTCTAAACTAAGTCAGCTTTGAGGCCATGCCGCATTGTTAAAAAAAGATTTCTTTCTTTTTATTTTTTGTGTGTGAGTATTTACTAGCATGTATATATGTGTACCACATATGTGCCTGGTGCTCTCAGAGGCCAGAAGAGGGTGTCAGGTTCCCTGGGATTGTAATTGCAGTTGTTAGTTGCCTTGAGGATGCTAGGGATTGAAGCCAGATCTTGTGGACGAGCAGTAAGTGCTCTTACTTAGCCTGAGCCTTCTCTCCAGCTACAGGGGCCAGGCCACATTTAAAACTGTTTGCATAGCTATCTGTCTGTCTGTCTGTCTATCTATCTATCTATCTATCATCTATCTATCTATTTATTACTTTTTGGTGGGTTTTTTTTGTTTTTGTTTTTTTGTTTTTTTTTTTTTTGAGAAGGGATCTATGTAGCCCTGGCTGTTCTGGAACTTGCTATGTAAACCAGGTTGGCCTCAAACTTCCAGAGAGATCTGCCTGCCTTGATTAAAGGCAGGCATATACAACCACATTGGGTTTTTTTGTTTTTTTGTTTTTTGTTTTTTTTGTTTTTTCGAGACAGGGTTTCTCTGTGTAGCCCTGGCTGTCCTGGAACTCACTCTGTAGACCAGGCTGGCATTGAACGCAGAAATTTGTTACTGCCCAGCTCAGTTTTTTCGTTTCTTTTAGGTCCTTCCTTCCTTCCTTCCTTCCTTCCTTCCTTCCTTCCTTCCTATTTTTTTTAAGATTTATTTATTTATTTTATATATGTGAGCACACTGTAGCTGTCTTCAGACACACCGGAAGAGGGTATCGGATCCCGTTACAGATGGTCGCCAGCCACCATGTGGTTGTAGTCTTAACTCTTTAACTACAGAGTCATTTCTCCAGCTCCCGCTTTTTTTTTTTTTTTTTTTTTTCTCCTTAAACAAGGTCTCACATCACTCAGACCAGCCTAGAACTGGCTGTGTAGTTGATAAACCTTCTGATCACTCTGGTTCAACTTTCTAAGTGCTAGAATTCAGCTGTGGGCTGCCACACCCAGTAGTGTGTGGACTTGATCTTCAGATGTCTTGTATATCGCTCGACAGGCATTCTGCCAACTAAGCCACAGTCCCAGCCCTGTGTGATTTTGTGTTTGGTTGTGTGTCTACCTGTGTGCGTGTACACAGATGAGTTTGGGTGCTGCTGGATGCAGGAGGTGTTGGATCGCTCTGGAACTAAAGTAGTTACAGGTGATTGTGAGCTGCCCAATGTAGGTGCTAAGAGCTGAACCTGGGTCCTCTAAAGAGCAGCAAGCACTCTTAGCTGCTGAGCCACCTCTCCAGTTCTTGTTTATTTACTGGGGGTTGAAGCCAGGGTTTCATACTTTATTTAAGACATCTGTTTAGCAATGAGCAACCACCCCAGCCCTACCTTTAAAATGAATGAGAGAGAGAGAGAGAGAGAGAGAGAGGAATGCACGTGAGTGTGCATATGCCTGGGTCAGTGCATGTAGAGGCAAGAGCTGGGCATCAGGTGAATTTTTACTGCTATCCACCTTATTACTATGAGACAGGGTCTCTCACTGAGCTGGAAGCTTGCTCTATTAAGCTGACCAACCTACAAGCTCTCGGCATCTTAACTGTCTCAGATTCCCAGTTTCCTAGGGTATAGGCCTTTAGAATCATACCTAGCTGTCTGGTTGGTTGGCTATTTCCGTTTTTGAGACAGGTTTTGACCACATAACCAGATTGGCCTGGAACTCAGATCCAGCTGTCTCTGTCTCCCTGGGCCTGGCATTAAAAGTATGTACCTTGCCCTGATTGATTGCTGTTTTGGGGACAAGGGTTCCATTTGTACTCGTCCAGGATGGCCTTTTTTTGTTTGTTTGTTTGTTTGTTTTTTTGAGACAGGGTTTCTCTGTGTAGCCCTGGCTGTCCTGGAACTCACTCTGTAGACCAGGCTGGCCTCAAACTCAGAAATCCTCCTGTCTCTGCCTCTCAAGTGCTGGGATTAAAGGTGTGTGCCACCACCGCCCGGCCCTTTTTTTTTTTAAGATTTGTTTATTTATTTATTTCATGTATGTGAGTACACTGTAGCTGTCTTCGGACACACCAGAAGAGGCCATCAGATCCCATTACAGATGGTTGTGAGCCACCATGTGGTTGCTGGGAGTTGAACTCAGGACCTCTGGAAGAGCAGCCTGGGCTCTTAACCTCTGAGCCATCTCTCCAGCCCCTGTGAACAAAATGTTTTTAAAAAATGTATTCACACCAGATTTTGGGAGACTAATGCTGGGTAATCACCAAGAACTCAAGGACAGCCTGGGCTACAGAAATGCTGTCTCAAACAAACAAACAAACAAACAAACCCCAACAATACCATCACTGGCCAATGTCAGACTATCTCAAGCACTTTCCCATCCTGTCCCAATTCCTAGACCTCAGGGCACTGGGTCCTGTGCCAGTAGACCCAGCGTCCTGTTAGGGGCAGGAATGAGGAACGTTTCCCTCTTCGTGTCCACTTGCTAGTGGACTACCGAGGTCACCTGCACGTCCCAGGCCTGGGGAAGGTCCTGGGGGTCCCGGAGGACCCCCAGAGGTGAGCAGAAGGGAAGAGGGGCGCATCTCAGAATCACCAGAGGTAGCTCGGCTCTCCAGAGGTCTTGGCAGACATGAAATGCACCCCAGCTCTACAGCTGATCTGCGGCCTGACACCTGGAGTCGGAGAACCAGGAGCCCAGAGTAAGAAGGAACCCTTCGGGAGCTTGGCCTATGCGGAGGGAGGACTGGTTGGAACAATGACTGTCGGTTGGAGGTCTAAGGAAAGAGGGAGCTAATTGGAGGCGTGGCTTAAGGGAAGGATGGGCCCCCAAGAGGCCTGGGTCGAGGCTTGATCTATTGCAGGTAAATGAATGCATATATTTCCTAAGGGAACTCACCTACTCTGGCTCGCAGAGAAGGGTCATGCGACTCAGAGAAGCCAGATACCCTTGTTGGGTACTGAGGTGGACTGGGAGCAGGGATTCAGACTAACTCAGTTTCCGATGCTCTCCTTTCCACAGGCTGTTCTCGTCCCTTTCCCGGCCTCCCTCCCCTCTGAGCCTTCCCCGTCCTCGGTCTGCCCCGGCCCGGCGACCCCCTCTCTCTGCAGGAGACATTTCATTTCCTGCCCGACCGCACACTCCCTTGAGTCGCATCGATGTCCGACCTCCTCTGGATTGGGGACCCCAAAGACAGACCCTCTCCCGACCTCCCATTTCACGCCGAGGACCTTCCTCTGAAGCTGGCGGAGGACGGCCACCCAGGAGTCCCCAGCCCTGGACACCAGAGCACAGAACGCAGGTGTGCGGAGGAAGCGGATTCCCTCCCATTAGGGTTCATCACTTGCTTTCCAGGCCAGTGATTGAGTCATGCCTCCCGGAAATTATGGGGAGTTCACAATGCAACTGCCCCCCCACCCCAGTTCCAGTATCAAAGGCTAGTGATTCCATGTCCCATCAGGTCTCTGGATTGTTTTGTTTGTGCCATTGCTCCTGTGTATTGTGGGTATTGTAGTCCAGAATACTCTCCTTCAAACTGTGAGGCCAAACCATAGTTTGGCTTCCAGTTATTGTTTCAAGATAGCCAGCCTCCTGATAATTTCTCTAAGAATCATGGGTTTATAGCCCAGAATATCTGTCGCTAACTTCCAGCAGCCCCTAGCGGTTTTGCCATTCTAGTCCCATTTACACACTTCGTGTGTGTGTGTGTGTGTGTGTGTGTGTGGCCAGTATAGTTAAGTTGTCCAGATAGGCCTTAAACTCACTCTATATTCCAGGCCTCCAGAGTAGCTCAGATGATGGCCAGCGCCACTAGGCTTACCCAGATGTTTCTACGCATTTCTATTTCAGTCTACCCAGGCCTCCGCTGGTGCGTCCACTTATCTCCAGCTGCCCCCAAGACTCCCTGGGACCCAGGCCTCCATGATTTTGTTGGTAGGTTTCCTGCGGCATCAGAAATCCATTAGAATCCATGTCTTGCTTGACCTCCATCTGCCCTCTCCCAGGAGAGCTGTCTCCCAGCCAAGGAACAAGGTATTAAATAAAAAATGAGGACGTGATTACTCCTAGGTATAGTCAAGAAAGTTTACTGCTGTAGACACGAGGGAGAGAACAGGAAAGCGAAGCTCAGAGGCTGTATGGGCTCGGGTTAGGGGACTGGGTGGGAAAAGTGCTGAGAGGGGCCGGGACCCTTCACAATGTTGAGTGTGGCGGCCAGGCCAGTGCCTCTTTGTTATGCTAAATAGACATATTTAAATGTTTTGCCTGCACTGGATGTCAGTGTAACTTCTGCATGCCTAGTGTTCAGGGAAATCAGAGGAGGCATTGGCCCCCCTGGACCTGCAGTTACAGATGATCGTAGGCTACGAGGTAGGTACCTGAACCTTGGGCCTCAGGAAGACCAACAGGTGCCTTTCCTCCCCAAATTTATTTTATGTACATTGGTGTTTTACCTTCATGTATGTCTGTATGAGGGCACTGGGTCCCCTAGAACTGGTATTACAAACAGTTGTGAGCCACCACGTGGGTTCTGGGAATTGAACCCAGGTCCTCTGAAAGAGCAGACAGTGTTCTTAACAGCTAAGCCATCTCCCCAGCCCTGACCTGAAGTTCTGATCCTCCTGTGTTGGTCTTCCGAGTGCTGGGGTAGAAAGTGTGCACCTCCATGCCCAGCTTACCAGCTTTCTGTGTGTAAGCATGCAGGCTGTGCAGACACTGTTTCCTGTCAATTGTATTTTCTGTGGCTATTTGAGTAGTGAGCCTACTTTGGAATCTTTCTGAAGCTAAGATTCCTGCTGTTGGCTCCAGAGGTTTCTAAGGCTTGGAAGGATGCCAACCAGGAGATGGTTGTCTGTCCATGGACAGAGGGTTTGGCTCAGCACTGACAGTGTGAACCTGCCAGTCACCTTTGACCCTGGAATTTTCTCCTCCTTAGCCAGGACCCCCTGTGGACTCCACTTTGCATCAGAGCTTGGAGACAGATGTAAGTCCTCCCAGATCCAAACCCTGTTGGACTCTCAGAGTTGAAAGGGCTCTAGATCAGCAGTCTCGACCTACGGGTCTTGAGCCCTTTGAGGTGGCATGTCAGATGTTTACATTACAACTCGTAACAGCGCAAAATTACAGTTATGAAGTAACAACAAAATAACTTTATGGTTGAGGGTCTCCACAACATGAGGAACTGTGTTAAAGGGTCGCAACATTAGGAAGGTTGAGAAGCACTGGTCTAGATGGAACTGGGGCAGGGAAAGTCAGGCCAGATTGATAAACACTTCTGAACTTCCCCCCAGACTTTGTTGACCAAGCTGTGTGGGCAGGACCGGCTCCTGAGGCAGCTACAGGAGGATCTGGACAAGAGGCAGGAGGAGAAGGTACAGAGGGGTGTGCCTTAGCTGCTCACACCCTTGATCCTTCCTCAGGCATCGGAGTCTTGCTTCCCCTGGGGACGGCTTGGGAGTACATTTGACCTTTTGACTTCAGAAGTCTAATCACTGTGGTCTGTGCAGGAACAGCTAGAGGCTGCCCTGGAGCTGACCCGGCAGCAGCTGGGCCAAGCTACCAGGGAGGCTGCAGCTTCTGGGAAGGCCTGGGGTCGCCAGCGCCTTCTGCAGGACCGGCTGGTGAATGTGAGGGCTGCTCTGTGTCACCTGGCTCAGGTGAGCATCTGAGAAGAGACTCTCAGGCTTATGCAGGTCACTGTGGAGATTCTGCAGGCTTGGAGGTCATTCTCAAAACGCCATCGCACTCACAAAACCCACTCATAACTCACAAAACCCACTCATAACTCACAAAACCCACTCATAACTCGAAATCTATAATCATTTAAAAATGTGTTCTTATTACATGTATATGTGTATGTATGCGCACATGTGAGTGCGCATGTATGTATCCTACGGCACCCATGTGAACGCCAGAGGACAATGTGAAGGAGTCAGTCTCTTCTATTCTGTTGTTCCTGGGGAGCAAGCTCAGGTCATCAGACTTGGCAGCAAGCCCCTTTAACAATTGAGCCATCTTACTGGTTCCTTAAACCCATAATCTCGATTATTATAGAGGCAAAGGGGCAAAGAGCTCGGCTGTGACAAGACTTCACTTAGTAGCTTCGGGATGGTGACCATCATGGGGTTCTGTTCTTGTTTTGGGTTTTTTTTGGAGACAGTTTCTCTGTGTAGCCCCAGTTGTCCTGGAGCTCACCCTGTCGATCAAACTGGTCTCAAACTCACGGAGATCCACCTGCCTCTGATTCTCGACGGCTGGGATTAAAGGTTTGTGCTACCACACCTGGCCTAGAGAATGATTTTGAAAACGTGTTTTCTATTATACATACGTGTGTGTGCATGTGGACATATCTGTGCACATACATGGACACACACATGTACACGAACCCAGGCCTTCACTCACAAACTGATCTGATTTGATTTTATCTTATATTTTTAATAGTCTCACTGTATGTTCCCAGCTGGCCTGGAACTCAGAGTTCTGCCTGCTTCTGTCTCCCTTATGCTGGGATTAGAGGTGTGGGCCACCATGCCTTGCAAGGTGAAACCGAGGCGATAATTTACTACCATCATGATCACGAATTCTGTTGGCTTGATGACATCTCGGCCAGAGCATTTGTCCCCAAGCCTCAGGGCCTGATTGCAGACCCACATGGCAGATAAAGAGAAACAACTCAGGCTGGAGAGATGGTTCAGTGGTTAAGAGCACTGACTGCTCTTCCAGAGGTCCTGAGTTCAATTCCCAGCAACCACATGGTGGCTCACATCCATCTGTGATGGGATCGGATGTATATGCAGGCAGACTGCTGTATACATAATAAATAAATACATCTTTAAAAAAAAGAAAAGAAACAGCTCCTACAAACCACTCTTTCTCACTCACACTTGTACACATAAGAATAAGTGCTTAAAAATAAGTTGTGTGTTAGCAAGTGGCAGTGTGCTGCTGGAGGTCAGAGGACAGCTTGTAGGTGCTGGCGCCTTCTTTCCATGTGGGCTCTGGGAATAGAATGCAGGTCTCAGACTTGCTGCTAAGCACCTTTTCCTCCTGAGTCTTTTCATAGTTCTCCCCAGGTACTTTTCACTGATTTTGAATATGCTTTCCCTTAAAGTTACTATGTGACTGCAAAAAAAAAGTTCTCTAGATAAGAAAAATACTATTGGAAGAGGCAGAGGCAGGGGATCTCTGTGAGTTCCAGGACAGCTAGAGTTACATACTGAGATCCTGTCTCACAAAACAAAACAACACAAGAACAAAGAAGGAAAGTTTCACTGGAGAGATGGCTCAGTGGGTATAGCACTTGTTGCTCTTCGAAAGAACCTAGGTTCATTTCCCAGCACCCATGTGTTGGCTCATAGCCATCCGTAACTCCAGTTCCAGGATCTGACATTGTCTACTGGCTTCCATATACACCAGGCATTCGAATGATGCACACACATATATGCAGGCAAAACATACATATAAAATAAATCAAACAAATTTAAAAAGAAAAATTGTATTTATTTCATATGGTCCTTATGAGGATCATGTTAAAACACAGAAATTAATAAATAGATACTTAGCTGGGTATGGTGGCGCACACCTTTAATCCCAGCACTCGGGAGGCAGAGGCAGGCGGATTTCTGAGTTCAAGGCCAGCCTGGTCTACAGAGTGAGTTCCAGGACAGCCAGGGCTACACAGAGAAACTCTGTCTCGAAAAACCAATAGATAGATAGATAGATAGATAGATAGATAGATAGATACTTAAAATGTAATCTGTCGGCTCCATGGCTCTAAGGACCAGTCCATATCCTCGGGATCACATGTCACATATGGACTGGGGTTCCTAGCAGTTGGAGCAAAGAAGATCATAGGAGTTAATGCCTGTCTGGACAGAGACTATCTGGAGGAAGCTGCCCTTCCTCTCAGCTGCGGCAAGATCTGGTGGTTCGAAAGACTAACCTTGTATCTCCATCTTCTCTGGGACTTTAGGAGCGAGAGCGGGTTTGGGACACGTACAGCGGCCTGGAGCAGGACCTTAGCACCTTAAGAGAGACTCTCGAGTACCTGCTGCACCTCGGGTCTCCCCAGGTACATGCTCACCCTTGCCATCCCTCCAGGCTTCACCTGGGAGCCGTGGACACTCCAGTGCTGCCCAAGGAGCCAGAGTCTCACCGACTGGCTTAGTGATTTTCTTCTTGATGTGACTTGACAGGAAGCCATTAAGGGGAATGTTAGGTTGTGTGTTGATGTATGGATTGAAGATAGAGGTCGTCACTGTACGGAAGGTAAGGCAGAGCTCATGAGGAGCAGGGGCTGGCACTTATCACAGTGGGTCAAGATGCAGAGTCAGGGCTGGAGAGATAGCTTAAGAGCGCCTGCTGCTCTCAGTTCCCACATGGTAGCTCACAACCATCTGTAACTGCATCTTCAGGGGATCTGATGCCCCCTCGTGGTCTCCATATGTACCTGCAACTCACATACACATGCATATAGACACATTTAAAACAATAAAAGTAAACATTCTTTAAAAACAAGTGGAGTGGGAAGATGCTGGCATCCCTATGGCTCATGTGCACTCTTTAAGCAAATCTACAATGCTTTGTTTATGTTATTACATTTTTTTCTTCTTTTGTTTTCTGAGTATCTCTATGTATAGCCCAGGCTGTCCTGGAACTCGCTTTGTAGTCCAGGCTGGCCTCAAATTCACAGAGATCCTCCGAAGTGCTGGGATTAAAGGTATATGCCATCGTGCCTGGCCTCACAATTTTTTTTAAGTTAAAAAAAGTTAATTATGAACAAGACATGTCAAAATAAAAATAAATTCATTAGAGGCTTGCTGGACTTGCCATAACAGGACATCTCTCAAAAACAAAACAAAGCAAAGAAAAACTCCAGTGGGCTTTATAATGAGATGAGAAACTCAACACTCAAGGTCAAATCTTGAGCTGGATAGACCAGACATTGCTAGAAATGTTCTGAGTTCAAGGACAGGAGAGAGAGAGCAGTGTTCAGTGCAGGCTCCAGCTTGCTTTCCCCAGTGCAACCTGCAGCTCGTGTATGAACTTGAAAGCATGGGGCTGGGATGCGGCTCACTGGTTACAAGCACTTACTGCTCTGTCAGAGGTCTCCAGTTCTGATTGAACACCCACGTGAGATAGCTCACAACCTTTATAACTCCACGCCAAGGGTGGGGCTGCCGTTTCCTGGCCTTAGTGAGTAGTCACACACCTATTATCACCTACACAGAGAGACATATACCTACATTGCACACTGCTCTCTCTCAGATAATCATGTCTGGCCTACCTGTCTCTAGATTTGACCTTGGGTGCTGAGTTTCTCATTTCATTGTGAAGCCCACTGGAGTTTTTGTTTGCTTTTGTTTTGTTTTTGAGAGATGTCCTGTTATGGCAAGTCCAGCAAGCCTTTCATTAATTTATTTTTTATTTTGACATGTCCTGTTCTTAATACATTTTTTAACTTAAAAATTTTTGTGAGGCCAGGCATGATGACATATGCCAAATGTACACATGAATAAAAAAAATATAATAATCATTTAAAAATTTGGGGCTGGAGAGAAGGCTCAGTAGCTAAAGGCACCTTTTGCCAAGCCTGATGTCCCAAGTTCAATCGTTCAATCCCTGGGACCCATGTAATAGGAAAGAAATAAATCCCCAAATTGCCTGACCTCCACTCATGCATACACACACATACACATAAACACACACACACACATAAACACACACACACACACACAACCAGGTGGTTTTGGCACATGCACTTGGGAGGTATCACTTGAGACCTGACTGTACTACATAGGAAAATCCTGTCTCAAACAAACAGATAAACAACAACAACAACAAAACCCAACAACAAACTCCCAAACACTTTGAAGGTGTTTTCTGTGCAAATTGACATTGGGAGAGTAAGTCGTACAAGGAGTATGAAAAGGCCACAATCAGCCAAGATTCCCTCGAGCTGGTTGGATTTGATGGCTTCCTGGCTGAGGCCATCTGCTGTTTCTGTTCCTGTATTTTCTCACCTTGAAGAAATCCCTTCCCTCCCCCCAGGACCGAGCATCTGCTCAGCAGCAGCTATGGATGGTGGAGGACACGCTGGCAGGTCTAGGTGGCCCCCAGAAACAGCCCCCACATACTGAGACCAAGTGTCCATCCCCTGTACCCCAAGGAGAGGAGTCCTCAGAGCGGGAGGTGAGATTTCCGGGTCCTCTATCACCTGTCCTAAGTGCCCCAACCTGCCAGGGCTGTCCCCTTGATCACTTATCCAATCCCACTGCCATCAGAAGAGGCTTTGAATCTCCCAGAACTGGTAGGATGCTTAGCACCATATAGATGCTGGGACTTGAACCTGGGTCCTGTGCAAGAACAAGTACTCTAACCACTGGACTGTCTCTTCTATTTGCTCCCAGGACCCAGCTCCAGGCAATGGTGCCAGGCTGGGTTTTCCCATAACAATGAATGTAATTTACACAGTCCCCTACCGTCAATCATTGTGTGTCTGTGTGTGTGTCTGTGTGTGTGTGTGTGCATACACGCATGTACTTATGTCACAAAGTCATATGGAGGTCAGGGGTAACTTGTGGGAATCGGTTCTCTCCTTCTGCTGTGTAGACCCCGGGATGGAACTTAAATCATCAGACTTGGTGGCAAGTACCCCTGTCTGCAGAGAGATCTCACCAGCCCCTAATTTAGTAAATATATTGTTCCTCATTATCCCGTCTGTCACCTAACTTCTCCATCACCTCAGGCAGAATAGGCACCAACACCAAAGACAACCTCAAGTCTGCTTTGGTAAACCGGCTAAGTTTTTAGGGGCTAATTACAGAAGCATGGCTGTGTGACTCTAAGGCAGCTGCTTCACTGGGGAGTTTCTCAGAGACCACTCTATCAGCCAGGTCCACAGTGTAGCATGGCACCCATTGTGCTTGTGGGAAAAATCTCACACTGCATCAATGTTCTGACACTGCTTTAACTGCCTTACATAGCAAAGGTTGAATACTTTTCATGTTAAGCAATGTGTTTAAGTTGAGAGGTTAAGAGAGGTCAAGCAACTTGTTCAAAGTCACACAGCTGATAAGTGACAGAGATGGGATTTGAAGCCAGCCTATCTGGCTCTGGGTTTGTAATAGTCTCCAAGCTGTGGCTCAGTTAATGACAGTATTTGATTCCCCACTCCACCCTTCCAGAGCCTTTCAGAGTCACTGGAGCTCAGCTCCCCTCAGTCCCCTGAGGTGGACTGGGGTCGACCCCCAGGAGGTGACAGAGCCCTCAGCAGCCCTCAGTCAGGTGAGCACCCTGGTAGGGTGGGACTCCCTCTCTGTCTGTTCTTGTTCTGACTAAGTCCCCGTCTGTCCTTCAAGGTGTTGGGTCTCCAAGGGTCTCCCGGGCATCCAGCCCTGAATGTCCTCAACCTTCATCCCCGCCGCTGAGAACTAAGGTAGACCATCTCTGAGATACCTTAAGGCTGCCTTGTAACTCTGTGCTCTGATCACCTCTGACCTCTCTATACTAGGAGAGGACAGTTCAAGGGCCACGCCAGAGCAGTTTATCTCAAGTACTGGAAGCAGTTATGTGAAGAAGCTGTGTGATTTCGGGTAGTCACTAAGCTCCTCTGAGCCTCCATGTTTCTCATCTGTGTAATGGCACGAATGCTACTGCTTACCACAGAGGCGTGAGATTTAAAATAGCATCGTTAGAGGCATGGCTCAGCGGCGGAGTCTTCTGTAGACTCCCCCAGTGAGCGGGCCGGGGGCATGGCTCCGCAGTCAGGTCCGCCAGGCTAGGGAAGCGTCGGTTCATTCCGCAGTACTTATCCAGATAAAGGGGCTGGTGTTTTTCACTCAGTGTCAAGTTATTGGGAGAAGCCGGCATGCCCAGGGATTGTGATACTTCCTTCTCCATAAGGCAGGATGGACAGGCGATGGAAGGAGACCAGAGGCCGGGGTAGGAATCGGCCGTTCGCAGCCTGGAAGCCTTTGTCCTCAGCGGCCTGGTCGTGTAGTAGGGAGGGGCTGCAGCAACCCCTGGTATACAGGGGTCTCCTCTGTGACAAATGCTCTGTGAAGTTCCTGGGGTGGAAAAAAACTGAGGAAGTCCAAGGTTAGATTTTTGGTCTGTCTCTCCCCAGGCCCCGCTGGTACGGCCCCGAATGAGCGCGCAGGAGCAGCTGGAGCGCATGCGTAGAAACCAAGCCTGTGGGCTCCCTCTTCCTCGCTCTACCTCCCCAAGGCTCCTGACCCTGGGGAAGACACTGTCCCCAGCTCCCCGCCAGCCTGACATGGAGCAGAGGGTGAGGAGGATGGGGTCTTGGGTTGGGGAACACGGTGGGGAGGGATCCTCTGCCTCTAGATTTCTCAGTTCCTTTATTTTTCTTCTCTCTCCTCTCTTTTTGAGGCAGGGTCTCATGTATCCCAGGCTAGCCTTGAACTAGCTACATAGCCAAGGCTAGCCTTGAACTCTGGACCCTCCGCAGGGATTTTGCCGTGATTACAAACCATTCCTGTTTAAACAGTGCTGGGGGCGGGACCTAGAGCTCTGCGCAGGCTTGGCAAACACTCTTCATCAGCCACAGCCAGTCCCTGCCGCCTTTGTAAAATGGAAACCCGTCCCACTTCCTTGTCCCACCCTGTTCCTCCTGCAGTTAGGGGACAGAAATAGGCAAGGAGGTGTTGTAAGAGAAACCTTTCCTGAGGAGATGCAGCATACACAGGCTCCCTAACCCCGGAAAGAGAAGCCACCAGACTACAGTAATGACTGCGCCAAAGTCGAGCTTGGCGAACCAATGAGGTTTTGGGGGTCACTAACAGGGCTCTGTGTGAGGGGTTACTTCCAGAGATGACCGAAAAGCAGCTCCGTCATCCCGGGGTGAGTGACAACTCATGGAAGCCGCAGTGGTGGAGCCATCTGTCTGCAGAACTTGCAGCTCAGCGGGTCTGAGCGCTCCCTCTGTAGCTTGGCCAGTCAGCTCTTCCAGCTGTGTTTGCTGCTTCCATAGCTCAGTGGAGAAAGTTTCTGTGACTCAGCAGGTTTCAAGCTTTTCCAGACATGACATTTATGCTTCGCCTCAGTCTCAGGCTTCTCCCCTCTCCTCCACGAATGTTTCAGTTCAGAGGAACCGGCCAGGAACCAGGGGGGAACAGGCATCTCCCTCTGATTCCGGTTGGGACTCAGGCGCTCTCAATTGCCCGTAGCTTGAAAGAGGCTGTGCCTGCCTGCAGCTCTCTTCCATTCCACGCTCCCAGTTGTACTTTCTATGCCAAACTAAAGCATGTGACCTGAGGGGGGGGCAGACTGAGTATGTATATGTTGTCTTTCCTGACCACACCCTCTTCTGCTAGGCCCTGCTTCCTAATAACACAATTAGCCATAAACTCTTGTAATGATATGGGAGTGAGGGCTGCCTGGTCCTAAAGGAAGCTGACATGTAATTGTTAGGCCAGACAATTGTTCCCCTGCACAAGCTGGGAAACCCCATCTGCCCTCCTTCCCCCTCAACCCCACCCACACAGAGGAAACTCCAGGCTAATGTGTCCTCACTTCTCTCCACGTTTCTGGCCACACACCCATGAGTGCCCGCCCAGGGGCTCAGCTTTGACCATGTATGGACACAATCCCAGCTCCTAGCTGGCACGTCATCACTCCTCAACTAAGCTCTATAAACCCACTTGCTTTAGCCTGGATGTGTGACTCCGCTGACCTTCACCTGTGAGGTCGTGAACCCACCCCAGAGCAGCCTCCTAGTAAACCTGCTTTTACCCACTTTTTTTCTGGTCTAATCTGGCCTATATCTGCAAGACTGAGGAAGAGAAAAAGTCTATCAATAATCTCATCAATGAAGGTGATAAGGAAAGAGGCTCAAGGCTGTGGCTGGCTGAGGTGAAAGGGGAGGTGCTGACAACTCCCTCTGTGGACCTAACCCTTAGAGGGAGGGAGGGACCAGGAGAGGAATGATGGGAGGCCAGAGAAGCCCTTCAGAGAGCGCCCTCAAAGCACCTCTCAGAGTCGGTCCCCTTGAGGTCTCTCAGACTCTTTTTCCAACAAGCAAAGTTCTGACATGTTATGGCTGTCAAGAGACTATGGAAAATTCCAGATTGTGTGGTGTGATTTATTTCCATGTGACAAGGAGCATGGAAGAGCCAGGTACCATGGATTGTAAGCTGTCAAGACACAGCACTGACTACTGAATCATGAACTTCAGGGAGGTGTGGCCTGATTCAGGCCTGTCAGTCACCTTTGGGTTAATTCATTGGTCAGATGAGCACTCTCATAGTCCAGTCACATCTCAGCAGCACCAAAGACTGGGGACCAAACCTTGTGACACGTAAACCTTTGGGGAATATTTATATCCAAGTCGGAGAACCCTTTGTAGGGAAGCAACAGGCTGTAGGCGTGGGCGTGACTTTGTGAACCTGATGTTCTTCAAGGCCACTTCACTCTGAGTCCCCCTGGCATCACCATAAACATAAGAAGTGGGAGCCCAGTGAGGCTGCTGCCTGACTCCCACCCCAGCTCTGAGGAGACAGAGGCAGGAGGATCAGGAGTTCAAGGCCATCGTCACCTGTATAATGAGTCAGAAGGCAATCTGAATTTCACAAGAACCTGGCAGGGAAAGGTGGGGGGACCTGGGGAGATGTTCAGTGATCGACTTGGGAACTTTAGAACCCATGTAGATCTTACGTCAACCAAGAGCAGAGGATCAGAGGGGGAGTACTTCCGGTGTCCTCTGACCCTCCTAGTATCTGCCTGTAGGTCTGTGGGGATAGGGGGATAGAGGAGACGGGGAGGGACAGGGTGTCGAAGGAGGGAGAGAAAAACAGAGGCTTCAATGGCAAAATTCTATCTCCCACCCCCCAGCCCTTTTCTTTCTTTTCTTGCCCCTCCCCTCTTTTCCCCCACCCAACTCTCCTCTCTTTTTTTTCATCTGAACACAAGTCCACCAGGCTGACCTTGAACTTGTGACCATTCTCCATGACAAGAATTGTAACCAATAATTCCTTTCCAGCCTATTGTAGGAGCTGGGAAATGGCTCAGGAGCTCTGGGTCGTGGAGTAGGTATGGAACTAGAGTGGGGACTGGCAATGGGAGGGGGTTCTGGATGTAGACAGGGCAGTGCTGTTAGCATAGCTTCCTGTGTACCAAGCAAGTCCCCAAAACACCGGAGTCCCCTGAGATCCTATGGTATTTACAAAAGAGCCAGAAGGCCCCTCCCCCATGCCCAGCCAGAAGGCCCCTCCCTCATGCCCAGCCAGAAGGCCCCTCCCTCATGCCCAGCCAGAAGCTGCAGAGCTCTTTTGGCCTGTGTCATATCCAGTGCTTCATCCAGTAATGGAGACCTCACTGCTGGTCTACTGGTAACAAATGCAGACAGCCTGCATGTAAAGTCCGCTAGACACAAGCTAGGAGAAGCCCAGCACGCCTCAGAGGCCTGCCTGACCCCCGGGGCTTATTCTCTGTAGTCCCAGGCACTCCACAGCTTACTCACCAGTATCTGGAGACCACCGGGAGCGAGTGCTCAGCCTCTCCCAAGCTCTGGCTACAGAGGCTTCCCAGTGGCACAGGCTGATGACAGGTGAGGTGCCCAGCCTCTGAACCCCTGTATCTGAGGGAGGAGGCCTGGAAGTGTGGACTTCCCATGTTTAAGTTAACACTTCTTGTTCTCTGTTTTAGCCTCTCCAGGGAGAAATTTGGACACCAGGGGAGACAGTCTCCAGCCAAGCCCGCAGCCTCCCAGTGAGGAACTGCCCCAGGTTACCTCATCCCCAACTTCTCACAAGGCTACATCTGCTGCCACAGAGTCCTCATGCCAAGAGAGGGGGAGAGGCCTGGCCCCCTGGGAGCCCAGGTGGGACCCTGGGAAGGCCCCTCCAGCTCTGGCCCAGGAAGAGGGGGCGTGGCCCCTGAGAGTCACTCTGCTGCAGTCCAGCTTTTGACTCCCATCTTTGCACTGGGTGCTACAAGCTGGAAGCACAACCATGTGGTGTGGGACCACTCGGGACCACAGGAGAGGCTCATTGTGGCGTGGGACCACTCGGGTCCATAGGAGAGGCTCATTGTGGCATGGGACCACTCGGGTCCACAGGAGAGGCTCATTCCAGCGTGGATTCTAGGAGGGCCGGGGCTGCTATGGTCAAAGATTGATTATCCCAACACTGTCCAAACTTGGATTAAAACTTGGAATTAGTCAATAAATAGCTCTATTCTCTCTATGATTGTGACATTGTGTGCTTACAAAAAAGAGTCAGGGCTTTAGATTCACACAAAATTGGGAGCTAGATCTCAGAATATGGATCTGAGGGAGGAGGCTGGAGCCTGGATTCTGAATCAAGGCAGAAGTGGTGCTGGTCTTACAAGTCAAAGGGAGCAGGACTGAAGTCAGTCTGAGGGGGCAGAGCTGGGACGGGGGTCCTGAGTCTGAAGGGGGATTGTCAGGATCGAGATCCCTGGGTCTGAGAAAGAGGGGCTAGGAAGGAGTTCCTCAGTTCTCCCAGGTGAGCCTTCCTGGGAACACCCCCTCCCAGGGTCAGCCTTCAGTGACCCAGCCTGTATATCTGGTTCCACCTCACTGCTTCTCTGGACTTTGGAGGTGGGAAGAGGCCCGGAGGGTGTGGGATACAGACAAGACATCTGGGAATGGCTGCAGTAACCCGATACGCTGGGAAGGTGGTGGTGGTGACTGGGGGCAGCCGGGGCATCGGGGCTTCGATCGTGAGAGCCTTCGGTGAGTAAGGGTCTTCCTGCCTGCTGTCTGGATTGTAGGAGAGAAAGGAGGACTGACGGAGGTTCCCGGAGTGGGAGGAAGAGACTAGGGTTCATTTCTTTAATGATTTATTTGTTCTTAAATGATGTGTTTATTTTTATTTTTCTCTGCATTGCTGTTGTATCTGGGTAAGGTTGTCAGATCCCGTGGAACTGGAGTTACAGACAGCTGTGAGCCACCATGTGGTTGCTGGGAATTGAACCTGGGACCTCTGGAAGAACAGCCAGCGCTCTTAACCACTGAGCCATCTCTCCAGCCCCTAAGTTTCATTCTTACATGAATCCATTTGGAGTATTGGGTCTTTGCTGATAGGTTGGTCATTAAGTTCTTCCACTGGCCTGGCAGTGGTGGCACACGCCTTTAATCCCAGCACTTGGGAGGCAGGGGCAGGTGTATCTCTTGAGTTTGAGGCCAGCCTGGTCTACAGAGTGAGATCCAGGACAGCTAGGGGTACACAGAGAAACCCTGTCTCAAAAAAAAAAAAAAAGTTCTTCACTGGATGGGTCACTAGCTGCAAATGATAGCTTTGAGTATATTATTGCTTGTAGGTTGGGATTTTTCTAGAAACCAGGATGGGGGCCAAGCAGCGACGAGTACAGGTAATTTGTAGCAAGGCTCTGCTCTTTTGAGAGGTCTATCACAAGACAGTCACGATAGCCGCCAGAGAGGCAGATGCTTTGGGTGGCCACAAGAGGGCAGCAGAGGCAATGCAGGGCCGGTAACATCGTTCTCTTTCTCTTGACAGTGGACAGTGGGGCTCAAGTGGTTTTCTGTGACAAGGATGGTGAGTGAGTCAGTGTTCACGTCTCCCTTGCCTCCGTCAAGGAAGCGATTCGTGCCTAGCTCTCCTCCCTAGGACCCAGGAATTCAAGCCCTTGCTTTCTTCCCTCAGATTCAGGGATTCCACCCCCACCCCCACCCCCTCCCCAACCCCTGCAGCCCTCTACCCTCAGAGTCTGGTGGACAAGCCTCAACTCCTCCCTCAGACACAGAATCTTTCTCTTGCAGAGGCTGGGGGCCGGGCTCTGGAGCAGGAACTCTCAGGCACTGTCTTCATCCCCGGTGATGTGACACAGGAAGGAGATTTGCAGGTGAGTGTTTTCTATCATCTCTAGTCCCTCTCTCCAGCTATCTGTGCCCTTGTCAGCTCAGTCCCCCTGACCTGCTCTCCCTCGGGTCTTTAGGAATGAACAAGACTTGAAACCCTTGTCTCCTGTAACAAGTTTCTGACTTCTCTGCACTCAGAGTCTGTTATGTTCCTCCAGGTCTATCCCCAGTCTGGGCCTCTATCTCTGTCTGTCTGTCTGTCTGTCTGTCTGTCTGTCTGTCTACCTTTGTCTCCATCTCTCTGCTCCCTACCAAGCTCTGGGTCTTTGGACCTTCCTTCTGAGGCTTGTCTTCTGCACACACACCCCTCCAAAGTCTTCTAAAACGGTGTGCTGGTTAGTGTTATATTGACTCCACACAAGAATCTCACTAGAATACGGCCCCACCAGACCTGCATGTGGGCAAGCCTGTGGTTCATTTTCTTGATTAGTGCTTGGTGTGTGGGTTTCCACAGCTCCCTGGGGGTTGTGACATCGCTGGGCATGGGATAGCATAAGAAAAAGGGCCACAGGAGCCATAGGAGAAGCCAGTGAGCGGTGTTTGTGCACAGCCTCTGCTTCAGCTCCTGCCTCAAGTTTCTGCCTTGAGCTTCTGTGCTGGCTTCCCTCAGTGGTAGAGTTGTGACCTGGGAGCTGAAAGCTGACATAAATCCTCTCCTCTCCAGGTCACTCTTGGTCATGGTGTTTATCACAGCAATAGAAATGCTAATTGTGACAAACAGCAACCGCACTGTGTCGCTCAGTCCTTTTAGTCAGGGTCCTTGGCTTCCTGCGTCCTCCCTTGTCTTCCTCAGCTGAGCTCATCTTTGCCTTGGACCCCTGGCTTTTCCAAGGCTGTCACCTCTCAGCTCATCACCGGCTCTTTCTTCTCTCCTCAGACTCTGATTTCTGAGACCCTCTCTCGATTTGGCCACCTGGATTGTGTGGTGAATAATGCCGGCTACCGTAAGTTGTGTGGCTTAGGGGCTGGTGTCCCTGGCATCTCTTCATACCCATCCCCATCCCTTCCTCTTAAAAATCATTGCATCTGTCTATCTATCTATCTATCTATCTATCTATCTATCTATCTATCATCTATCTGTTATCTATCATCTACGTATCGTCTGCTCATGTGCAAGTGTGTGTATCCACAAGCAAGCACACACTCAAGCATAGTGCTTGTGTGGTACTCAATGCAACGTGAGGGAATCAGCTCTCTCCTTCCACTGTGTGGGACTGAGCCCAGGTTATCAGGCTTGGCAGTAAGTGTACAGTTGAACCATCTCAACAGACCCAGTCCTCAGTTTACCCCTTACCCAGGCCACAGCCCTCTCCCGTGTGTGTGTGTGTGTATTTACTTGCATCTTGCATGCATGTCTGTTCACTACTTGCATGTCTGGTGCCCATAGAGGCCAGAGGAAGGAGTCGGAGCCCCTAGAACTGGAGTTACAGACAGTTCTGAGCTACCATGTGGGTGCTGGGAACTGAACCTTGTTCTCTGGAAAAGCAGCCAGTGCTCTTAAGTACCAAGCCATCTCTGCAGCCTTCCTTAACAGAGAGCTCAGTCTAGCCTAGCCTCAGCCCTCACTTTCTCTGCTGTGTGCTCAGGCTATGCTCTCCACATCTGTGTGCCTCAGTTCCCGTCTCTGAAATAAGAATTATCCCCGTTTCTGTTGGGGGTGCTGTTCTCAATAAAGGAGGTCACGCTGTCCCTCAGGACATTCCCTCAGGACAGAGCCTAGGCAGCTCCTGCCTTGCAGAAGGCTGAAGGCCCCGGGGCTTTGTCGGTGACAAGGACTACACAGGCACACTTTATCAGACTCTAGGTGGTGTGACACTCTGGGAAATTTTCATCAGACCAACAGCTGGACTATAAAACAATGTGTCCCCATGGCAACAAAGGCTCAGGGAATACCCAGGCCTTCTTGAATCCCCTCCAAAGATGACGGTGCAGACGACCGCCCCTTGGCCAGCTGGGCTCTGTGTCTTAGCTGCTTTATTTCACATCATGATAAGGATTCAGAGTTGCCGGAAGCTCATCCTTAACTGTGTCTTTCTTTCCTTAGGCTGATGTTTATTCTACACCTGTCACATACCAAATTCTGTTGTGGGGAGTGGTGTCTAAGCAGGGAAATTCACATTCCACAGTGAGGAGAACAGATACCAGCTGGAGAGCTGGGGCCTGGCTCAGCGGCAGAGCACCTACCCACAATCCCCCATGAGTCCTAGAATGACAGGCATGGGCCAGCATGCCGTGTTCTGCAGAGTGCTGGTGCACTCAGCCCGTGCAGCCTCTTTCCTTGGCTTTCTCCCTCGCCCTTGGCCTCCTCTGTGACCCCATCATCCATGCCCTCCCTCCCTTCCTCCCTCTCTCCCTCCCACAATCCTGTCCAGGCCTCATCCTCTCCTTCCCTGTAGACCCACCTGCACAGTTGCCCGAGGAGACCTCTGCCCAGGGCTTCCGCCAGCTGCTGGAGGTGAACCTCCTGGGGACATACACATTGATCAAGGTGAGACAGGCACAGCTGCAGTCGCTCAGTTCATCATGAGAACATTGCCTTTGCCCCTTGGCTTGCTGTCATTATAGTACAGCCATCCTCAGTCTGTGGGTTGTGACCCCTTTGGAATAGAAGGCCCTTTCACAGGGGTTGCCTAAGATTGCCAGAAAACACGGTGTCTACATTAAGATTCGTGATTGCAGTTGTGATAGCAATGAGGGTAAGTTTATGGTTGGGTGTCACCACCACATGAAGGGTGCAGCGCTAGGAAGGTTGAGAATCAGGATCTCGAAGGACACTGTCCTAGGTAAGAAACAGACACCGTCTGCATCCACCTGGGAAGCTACAGCCTCCTCACAATTTTCCAGAGCTTTCCAGGCCTGCTTGGAGATAGCAAAGAGGATGCTAAGAATCCAAAGATGAACCTGGCTGTAATGACACACACCTTTAATCCCAGCACTCAGGAGGCAGAGGCAGTCAGATCTTCTGAGTTCCAGGCCAGCCTGGTCTACAGAGAGTTTCAGGACAGCCAGGACTACACAGAGACACTCTACCTTAAAAAAAAAAAAATGAAAGGAAGAACCCAAAGGTGTGGCTGGGGCTCAGCTGGGAGAATGTTTGCTCAGCAACAAGAAGCTCTAGCTTGGAGTCCTAGCACCGAGGATGATGGTGCAACCTGTGATCCCACCGTGCAGGAGGTGGAAGAGAATTGGCTGCTCTTCACAAGAACCTTCCATCAAGTCCCAGAACTCTCAGTTTTTGGGATCTGATGCCCTCTTAGGGCACCCATGCACATAAACTAAAGATGTGAAGGCAAGTAAGCAAGCAAGACTGCGCACACAACACACACACACACACACACACACACACACACACACACACACACACGTCCCATGCCTAACACAAACAGTTGGGAGGACTGGTTCAGGCCAGAGTAAACTGGAATAAGATAGATGCTGGGTTAGGTGGTAAAAGCTGGGGCCCTCTGCAGCTGCCTAGAGTCACACTGAGAGATTGGCAGCTAGGGACAGACATCCAGGAAAGAGTCAGGGGTCTGGGGCAAGTATTTATGAGTGATAGCTCTACACCTGGTACAGGGACGAGAACAGCCAAGGAAGACACCTGGGCCTATTTTGGAAGGAGGAGAGGACATGAAGTGAATGGCATGAGGGACAGGGTGGGACAGGGTGGGACAGGGTATAAGGAAGACTGTGTGTGAGATGGGAGAGGGTAAGCCCATACCCTGGAGGAGAGCAGAGAACTCCCTCACAGTGCTGGGTTCAGAGACTTCAGAGCCCTCTGAACTTCTCATGTGTGTATTATGGCTTTTGCCCTCCTGAGATCCAGTCGTACTTACTGTCATTGGCCCCTTTAAGAGGAGAAGAGGGGCCCCAGTGGACAGGGTGCCCTTGTACTTGAGATGTTCTCACTATTGCAGTATGAGTTACAGGACAGGAGGGCATGTGACAACTCATGACAGTCCCCAGGGATCTCTTATTCTAAGGCAAACTGAGGGTATTGTGTGACCAGTGTGGCTTTTTCAGAACAGAGTAGTCCAGGAAGAGGCTCTGAGGTTGCTGTGCCCAGGCCGTATTTGAAAACCGCACAGAGGAAGGGGAGAAGGCTGTATTTGGGGGGTGGAAGAGTTATGGGGTGAACCACAGTTGGGATCCTCTTAGGTTCCTGTTCTAGGAGCCTCTGAGTAGCTAGTCGGTGCTCAGTGCTGTGTAGTGGTAAGAGCAGCTCCAGCGCCCACAGCAATGGAGAATAGACTGAGCTTACATACAGGGAATGAACACACCCATGGAGGAGGGGCTCCGGAGAGCTGCAGAAGGTGGCAGAGAGCAGGCCACATCCCGAGGCAGGACACATCATGGTCACCGAGTTCTTTGTACAATCCAGATACACCATCTCCCTCTGCCGAATAAAACACTTCCTCCTGTTGGGCCAAAGAGCCAGGGTTCTGTATGGTACTTAGGTTTCCCTAGCTTGATGAAGGCTGGAGACAGAATAGCAGATGAAAGGAGAGAGAAGACAGACAGACACACACAAAGAGAAAGACAGATTGGGGGACAGGGAGAGACAGAGACAGAGAAAAATCCCTTGTAGAGGTGCTCTGGCATATGGCACTATGCCTGTGCTCATTGAGGTCCGCTGGGCAGTGGTCGGAGTCCCACACCTGAGGATGCTGGTGGCTGTTCTCCAGGACCAGCTGCAGATGACTGATCTCTCCATAGCTTGCCCTCCCCCACCTGCGGAAGAGCAGAGGAAATATCATCAACATCTCCAGCCTGGTAGGGACCATCGGCCAGTCCCAGGCAGTTACCTATGTGGCCACCAAGGTAGGCCAGCCCCTCTTCTCCCTCCTGTCCTTTTGTAAGTGCTACAGCTCTGAGAGGAAAGGTAAACTGGCAGTCGGTGTAAAAGTTACAGCTTGGATGGTAAGCTATCCTGATAGTTAAGAGCCTGCCTCTGCTCTGGTGAGAAGCAAGAGAGAACTGGGCAGAAGATGGGTTTCTATAGGATTTCTTGCGGGGCTTGGGGTGGGTCATGGAGCTTTCCGAGGTGGGAGTTGTTGGGATTTCAAGTCTAGAGTTTGGACTTTTTACAATGTAGGACAAGGGCTGGGCTAGGTCCCATGGTTAGGGCAGTGAGACTGTGGGTAGAAGCTGGCATTTGGAGGTCCTGGGGGAGGGACTGACCACTCACCTGCCTGCCTTACCCCTAGGGGCTTACACCTTTCCTAGCTGTTTGGATCTCAACTTTGAGCCTGTAATCTGCCCCCTCCCTCCCTCCCTCCCTCCTTCCCTCCCTCCCTGCCTCCTTTCCTCCCTCCCTCCCTCCCTGCCTCCTTTCCTCCCTCCCTCCCTCCCT